GCGCAGGCGCAGAGTATCCCAAGGGTGTGATGCACAGAGACCACGAAGAAGATCACAGAGTTCTGCTGAAGGTTTTGAAGTACTGAAAGAAAGGCAGGACACATGTTGCTCGTACTGCAAGGAGAGAGAGAGAGATGCCTCTCTCCAGTGTGATAACCGGAGCTGTTTCACAGGTTGTTGTGTGGAGAGGTAGTCATTCAGGTCTGAGGGTCCCTGAACCAGGGAATGTATTGGTAGCCAAGCTAACAATTCTCTTGCAGACTCTCCAGTCATATTGCCATGTTATCTTGAAAGTTTCAGAACTTTGCTTTGCACACAGAAGGTCCAAGGTTCAATCCCCTGCATCTGCAGTTTAAAAAATCTCAGGTATCCAATGCTGGGGACAGACTTAGCTTTGCTTGAGAGCCAACAACAGTAGAAGTACATAGTGCTTGGCTAGCCGTGCCAGTATTCTGAGCTGATGCAAGACAGAGTCATGCGATGGGCAGTGGCTAAGTGGTAGAGCATCTGCTTTGCATGCAAAAGGTCTCAGGCGCAATCCTCAGCATCAATCCAGTTTAAAAAGAGTCTTGCATAGCAGTTGTTGACGTTCCATCGTCTCTGCAGATTCCCGCAGGTCTGAGTAGCCAGCTTGGTGTAAGGCAGTTTCATATGGGCAGAGAGCTGGTCCCGGGTTCAGGTTTTGGTATCTCCAGTTAAAGGATCTCGAATATCACACGTGAACACACATGAAGCTGCCTTATCCTGAATCACACCATTGGTCTATCAAAGTCAGCATTGTCTACTCTGACTGGCAATGGCTCTCCAGGGTCTCAGGCAGAGGTCTTTCACATCACCTCCTGCCTGGTCCTATAGCTGGAGATGCCGGGGACTGGAATGTTCTGCATGCAAAGCAGAGGCCCCTCCCTCCTCAGACTGTGCTTGGTTTGGCCTGGATAGCCCAGGTTAGTTTGATCTTGTCAGATTGTGGAAGCTAAACAGGGTTGTCCCTGGTTAGTATTCGGATGAGAGATCACCAAAGAAGTCCAGGGTTGCTATGCAGAGACAGGCAATGACAAACCACCTCTGAATGTCTCTTGCCTTGAAAACCCTATGGGGGTCACCTCAGAAATCCTACGGGGTCAAGGCTGCAACTTGAGGGCACTTTCCACCACCACCGTGCTTTGTGGTCTGCAATCCCACTCCCCGAAACATGAGACCAAAGCCTTGATGGGACCAGGTCTGTTGCTTGTAAGTGCTGCTGGATCCAAGCATACTGCTACTGGATAAGCCAGTGGCAGCACTGCTCTTTGACTGGTTAACCAGCTGTGGCCTTTCCTGGGGAGAAACTAACTGGCCACCATGGTGCAACAGTGTTCCCTCTAAGCTGAGTTAGTGTGAGCTAGCTCTCAGTGTTTTAGCTTCCAGCTCAGGAAGGATGGCTCCAGAGCAAACTAATTTATGCAGCAGCCAAATCGCTCGCTTACAACTTTAATGCCAGGAGATCCCAAAGTAGAATTTTTGCTCACAAGACTCCACAGCTTAGAGGGAGCATTGGCACACTATGGTAACATTTAGATTAAATAACTGCAGTGTGTTCTATGTAGGACTGCCCTTGGAAAGTGTTCAGGAACTCCACTTGGTACAGGATGCTGCAGCCCGTATGTTGACTGGAATGGGTCATAGGGACCACACCACCCCAGTCTTGGCCTCTTTGCACTGGCTCCCAGTTTGTCTCTGGGCCCCATGCAAGGTGCTGGTGTTGTTCTTTAAAGCTTCATATGATTTGGAACCAGGGGTCTTTTGGGGCCGGCGCGCTGCTCTGGGAGCCCAGGAGCTGGTACAAATGGCAGTGGCAGCAAGCCCCGCCCCCAGCTCTCTGTGCTGCGGCCCGTCACTGGCCTTCTGGGGCCCGCGCCGGAGCGCTGTGGCCCCAGGGAGGCTTGTCACCCCCTCCCCGGAGCCGCGTCGGAGTGCTGTGACTCCAGGGAGGCCCGAGGAGGCCCGTCGCCGCCTCCCTGGGGCCTGCGCCGGAGCGCTGCAGCCCCAGGAGGGCCATTGCCACCTTTCTGGGGCCTGCGCCAGAGCGCTGTGGCCCCAGGGAGGTCAGAGGAGGCCCGTCGCTGCCTCCCCGGGCCAGCGCTGGAGCGCTGTGTCCCGGGGGAGGCCAGAAGAGCCCCCTCACCTCCCCGGGCCAGTGCCGGAGCGCTGCGGCCTGGGGGAGGCCAGAAGACGCTCCCCGCTGCCTCCCGGGGTAAGTGAGGGATCCGCGGGGGGTGGCGGAGGCTTGATTTGGGGTGGTGGTGGGAGAGCCTCCCCCCATCTCTTTGCCCTCTTTCTTTCCCTCCTTTCCTTCCCCTTTCCTTTCCCCCTCTTCTTTTCTTTCTCTCTTTCCCCTCTCTTCCTTCCTTCCTTCCTCTTTTCCTTCTTCTTTCCTTCTCTCTCTTTCC